TGGGGGCCCCTGCAGTGTGAGCAGGGGAGATCCCCGCTAACTGGCACTAAATGCTGCTGGGGTGATGCTGATGTCGGGGTCCCTGGTTCCTGCCCAGGTCAGTTTTGCTGTGAGCTGCGGTGCCTGGCCGTTCACATTCTAGCTGGCTGCCTTGCTCTGGAGGAAAGGCGGGCTAGGGGCATTCAGCCCCGCAGTGGTGCTTCTATTGAAGTGCATCTCCTGAGTTGTTTTGTAAGGATTTCACGCGGTGCTGTTCTCATCTTCCTTGTCTCCTGGTACCTCAGTTGATTGTTCCCATTGGAACACAAGGTCGGAAAGCAGCAGAAACCGCCCAGAAAACCAGATGCTGCGTTCAGACTGTTTCTCTGGGGAGATGTGTTACAAATCTTGTCCATTTGTGAAGAGTGGGGCTCTCTGCCCCAATGTAGGTTCTTGTTCCTGCCTTGTCCCTTCCTCACATATGCCATCTCATGGTGATGCTGCTGTGGTGGGAGAGTTGGAATTCTCTCCGGAGCTTGGTCAGTGCTACTGTACTTGTTCAGGAAAAACTGGTGTTGCTTTAGATCTGGGTGAAACAAGTGTTTTTCACCTTCTCCCTAGGGGACTGAGTGCAGTATCACTTCTGCACAGGGACAAGTGCAACCCTGTTGTAGGACAGAAAGAAATGTGGTCCCTGGAGTTCTGCACTGTGCCCTGCTGTTGCCCTCTTCTCTAAGGTGCGCTAGTGGAGCTGTAGATCTCAAACTGCAGCCAGGCTGCATAGCCCAAGATAAAGTATGTCACTGGCAGTCTCAGAGGGCTGATCCATTTTATTTAAATTTAGGGGATCCTTGGAACTCCTGGCAAGTTGTCTATGTGACTTGGGCAGAGTTCACATGTCCCCAGTTCGAGGCCAATGAGCCAGTTTCCTTTGGCTTAATGGCCAGTATAAAGCTGGGTGTGAGCAGTTCAGTGCCCAGTTCTATAATTCTCTCATGCATCAATTGCCAGGGTGTATTCGCCTCATGATCTTTATAGAAATCTACAGTTCCTGTTCTGAAGTGCAAATGGAATGTCAAGTGATGGTCTGTAGAACCTCATTACAGAAAAGCGTTTCTAAACACACTTTGGGACGTCTTCCAAGAACCTGGATGGTCTGATGTGAGGGAAGCTTGAGGGGAGACTAAAACAAAGCCTAGAATGCCCCGCTGTCCCCAAAGCATCCTGCAGGCTAAATCAGGGCAAATCTCATGACTGTCTCAGAGCAGAAAGTGTGTGAGAACAGTGGGTAAAGTGCAAAGCTAGAAAACCATTGTGGGCAGTTGCATGCAGATGTTTACAAGATAATGCAAGCAGTGGAAAGGGAAAGGAAATTGAGTTGCTGCCATACCACAAAATCATTGCCATGTCTAGCAATGTTAGCAGCAGCTAGAATGATCCGGGGCTGCTTTAATGGAAGATGCTGCAGGTTAGGATTGAGGTGCGTTAGCCGAGCTGTCTTGAGGACTCCAGAATTAATTATTGGTGTCTGTGGGTCACACTGGAGAGGTGCTGCTAGAGTGGGGTGGTGAAAGCTTACACTACCTTTCCTAGTACAAAGTCTCATCTTTTCTGAGAATTAAAATTCTCCAAAATATTTTTAAAAGACTAAAGTACAAGACTCTTCTCTGTCCCTACTGCATGTGTTTAATAGCTGATGTGATTGCCATTTTTTAGTTAATCCCAAGAGAAGTGCACAGGGGGAATGTATCTAATGTGGGAGACTGTAAAAAATCAACGGTATCGTGAGGCAGGGAGGGAGGATGAAGCAGCAAATACCCTTCACTATGGGAACATCCAAAATGTGTCCATCTAGGAATTACACTAACATCTTACCAGCTGGCATCTAGCTTGCATAAAACAGTCCTTTGCATCTGCCCTGGGTATGGAGGTGCAAACCATGGATAGTAGGGGTCCCAGCATACAGTACTCCATCTTGTCCAAAGAGGAGGCCCCTGCGCAGATGTTCTGTCTGTCTAATGCCCCCTTGGTCCATGGGCTGCACTTCTGTATTCAAGATGAGGTCAGCCACAGTCCATAACACAGAATTGTGTGGCTTGTGTTTAGCCTGGAGTAACCCTGCTGCTTTCCTTTGACAAGCACAAACAGGCCTCTCCCTGCTACCAGGGAGGTGCCAAGGGGTTCTACAGGATTTGGCCTATGATGATAAAGTGCTTGCTCCTGCTGGCAGCTGTAGCTAATTGGAGCCTCGCCCAGGCATGTTTCTAGTTAAATTCTTTGTCCTTGCTATATTAGTGCACTTCATCCCATGGCCACTGTCGGTTAGTAACCCTAGTAATGTTCTGGGCTGGAAGGAGGTGCTACATACCACCTTGGCCCCTCCACTAATTGATCTCAGTGTTTGGGGACCTTCATCTCTTCCTAAGCCAATAGCTGCTCTGTATTTCTGTCCTGGCACATTCCTTTCATCCCGCCCTGTGCCTGCCTGTTTCCTCCCCCACACATACAGCAGCAGCATTAACAAATTTGGAGGATGAGTGGCAGAACCAAGCTGTGGACTGGAATGAAAAACATCCTGTTTACTCATGTAAACAGTGAGTCCGTTTTTTTGGCAAAATGTTCAGTCTGTGGTCTTCCAGACAGAAAAGGACAAAATTGGTCAGAAAATCTTTTTTTTTTTTAGATGCCGAAACAATGAACAATTGAATCTAAAATTGTGGGAAGAAAAAAGATACTTGACCAGTCACTCATTTAAATCATCTTCTATTACTGTTCCCTCTTCCTTAAAATTACCCAGCTGGAAACTTGCATAATATGCATCTCCTTAAATGACTATGAACTAATGTGCTGAATATAGAGGGTAAATCCAGAGCAGAGCTTTGAAGCTGGAGCTGTGCTGTGAGGCTGGTGTGTTTGGGAGACTGATGTATGAGGAAAGATTAAAGGAGCTAAATGTGTCTAGTTTGGCTAAGTAACAATTACAGTGGATTAAAATGGGGTGTGGGACACAGAATGGTTTAATTGCCACAGGTGGGGGAAGGCCTGAGTATAGTCCCACGGGCTATAATTGGAGATTGAGCTGAAATTCAGAAAAGAGACATTGAAGGTGAACTGTAGGAAAAGCTTCCTGAGCTGGTATGTTTCTAGCTGTAGAATCCTCACCCCAAGGGAAGAGAAGGGAACAGTTCTGTCTTGGCCCCACTGAAGGGAAAGGGAGGTTGTTTTGCGTGGCCCTTGATAAGACCTAATCTCTCTTCTGAGCTCTCTAACTTCTGATTCTTTGGTTTACCCTGGAGTTCAGCTCTCTGTCGCTCTGCACAGTGAGATGCGTGCACCTCCTGGTTATCTAGTCTGTATTTCTAGTGCACTTCCCTATTTGAGGTTAGTCTCTTGATAAGTGTTTCTAGCAAGGTGAAGCTAAGTGTGGTTTTGTGCTCCCTGGGCTGAGAGCACTTTCAGCCTGAAAGCATAGAGGGCGAGGAGTGTATCGCTCCCTCTTCAGCCCGTGGCTGGCCTAAGGATGGGGTTGACGGGCTCTGGTTAACCTTTCTTTGCTTGCTGCTGGGAGGTGAGAAACCAAGACGAATGGGGCTGGAGTTGAGGGGTGGCATGTTTCATGAGCAGCTTTTACTGTTGAATTTATGAAGTGTTGGGAGGAGACAGCCCCTCTAGCTAGGGGTGAGCATGGATCTCTGGGGCTGTTGGGTACAGGCCAGAATGTCAGTGAGGGAAACGGAAGAGCCTGGGTTCCAATCCATCTACATCAGGTGAGTGGCAGGGCCACATGCTGCATGTGACTCATGCTCGGATCAGTGGGGGAGAGGACCAGCAAAAGAACTAATGTTTGGAAGCAGATTCTGGATCTGTTTCTGTTGCCATCTAATGCTATCTGACGATGGTTTAGAAACCGATGTATCATCTGTCACCACAGCTCTTTTCAAAACTGAGCTAGTCTTCCCAGCGCACCTCCTAAAGAGTCAGTTATAACAATTTGCATGTACAGTGTGTTGCGCTGTGAGGATTTGTACTTGTGCAGCTCTCCTTATTCTACAGCGGGGGAAGGAACTCTGGCACAGAGGGGGAAGTCCGTCTGCCCACAAAGCCGCAGTTATAGATTCATCTTAGTAACAGGGGCTCGCAGCTTTCTTCCCAGTGCACCAGCTAAGAACGGCTCTGTTTGGTTTCCCAGGTTGTTTTCCTCCACTTCTCTGCGACCTCTCTTTCTCCTCAGCATCTCTCTGCTTGGAATTCTCTTGCTGGAGAGGTGGAAGCCCAGGTTCCTGTTTGACTTCTCTGGTAGGTGATGCATATTGCTGTAGCTGGGAAATCATGGGATGAGGTTACAACTGCTGGGTCGTGGACAAATGCTGGTATTCCCTGACCGTTATGGGTACTGTAGGTCCCCTCCTTCCCTTCCTTCAGGGCCTTGTTCTGCAGCTACTGCCTCCGTTGCATTGAGTGTGCTCAAATCCACAAACCAGCTTGGGCAGGCTCCTTGGCGGGTTGGAGCGTGTGCAAATAGGAGGCAACAATGGATGGTGCAGTCGGAATGTCTGTCTGGGGATTGATACACCTGCTGACAGCCGTTCAGTTTGATGGGGCCTGGCGAGGCCCAGCTAACTTGGATACGCATGTCAAAAGGACAGTGACTGGGGTGGTACAGTGTGTTTCTGCTCAACACTAGGATTATTCTGACTCTGGGTCTCCTCTGCCAATTCAGATGGGAAACTCCTCGGAGCCCAGGTTCTCTGAACCAATGTCACTTTGTTAATCCTCCCTTTTTCTGAACAGAGTTCTTCACCTTCCAGGGCTCTGTGTCAAACAGTGCGCGGTACTGTCCTTTCCATAGGAACAGCCATCCTGGGTCAGACCAATGGTCCAGCTAGCCCAGTAGCCTGTCTTCCCACAGTGGCCAGTGCCAGATCAGTTTGGAGAATGAACAGAACAGGGCAATTAGCGAGTGATCCATCCAGTCCCAGTGTCTGACAGTCAGAGGTTTAGGGACACCCAGAGCATGGCGTTGTTACCCTGACCATCTTGGCTAATAGCCAGTGCTGGACCTGTCCTCCATGAACTTATCCAATTCTTTTTTGGACCCAGTTATAGTTTTGGCCTTCACAACATCCCCTGGCAATGAGTTCCACAGGTTGACTGTGCGTTGTGCGCAGAAATACTTATGTATGTTTGTTTTAAACCTGCTGCTGGTTAATTTCATTGGGTGACCCTTGGCTCTTCTGTTATGTGAAGAGGTAAATAACGCTTCCCTGTTCGCTTTCTCCACATCAGTCATGATTTTATAGATCTCTATCGTATCCCCCTTAGTTGTCTCTTTTCTAAGCTGAACAGTCCCAGTCATTCATTTTAATCTCTATTCATACAGAAGCTGTTCCATATCCCTAATTGTTTTTTGTTACTCTCCTCTATCCTTTTTTCAATTATAATACCTCTTTTTTTGAGATGGGGTGACCAGAACTTCATGCAGTAGTCAAGGTGCGAGCGTACCATTGATTTATATAGTGGCATTATGATATTTTTTGTCTTATTATCTAGCCTTTTCCTAATGGTTCCTTCTAAACACAATGCAGAGGGTGAGAGGCAGATTCCAGACACGAGTGTACACTGCCAATAACATAACAGTCAAAACCGATGTGCTTATCCCAGACTGAGCCACAATCACCTCATTGTTGTTATCCAGGAGATAGGCCTGCACTCCATCAGGAACAGTCAAAACTGGATACAGCCATCTCCGGCTGCAACAGGGTAGCGGAGAGGACAATGGCAGTGAACACAACTGTATGACCTATGGCTAGGTTATTGTATTTGTACGAACCAACGTCTGGCTTCCAGCTAGTAGGTAACAGGGACCATCTTGCACATCTTGGCCAATGATGTTGACAGAGTCCCCATAATACAGACTCAAGCTAGGACTACACTACAATCGCTGCAGCTACGCCGCTGTAGTATAGACACTCGCTGCAGTGACAGAAGAGGTGTCTCCATTGCTGCAGTAAATCCACAACCTCGAGAAGCGATGGCTAGGTCACCGGGAGAATTCTACTGGGATAGAGATGTCTATACCAGGGCTAAGGTGGGCTTAACGATGTTTCCCTCAGGTGTGGAAAATTCACACCCCTGAACAAGGTAGCTAGGTTGAGCTAAGTTTTAGGTGTACCCCAGGCCTCAGAGTAGCAGCAAGGAAGACTATTCAAACAAGGTGTGATTGGTTGCCATCTAGTTTGAGCCCCTCCTTCAGCTAAATTTATTAAATGAATAGACTTAGGAAACAGTTTTGTACGAGAGGGGGCCCGCGTGTGTGTGCCCGTGAGAGAGAGAGAGAGAGAGATGGGCTAGATGTGACCTGCTAGGGTGGTGACTAAAGAGCTCTCACATGCAGCCCTGATAAGATTATCTAGGCTGTAAACATTCTTTCAGTTGTATTAATCTCTTCATTCTTGATGCTGTTTGTTTACTCTGTGCACTTCATTCAGCTTGGGCAGTGAAACGAGACTGGCCAGTTTCTCGAACACTAGCGTGATGCTGTTTTTCCAACACTGCAGGGGAGAGTTTAAATGTTTAAAATACCCCCCCAATCCTCCAAAATGCCTATTTGCATTAGGCTTGTTAAATCCTTTTGTTTACAGAATTCTGGCTGCCCTTTATAACGGTCTTGCAGAGGTGGGAGAGGGGAAGTCTTTTTTCCTTCCAAAAAGACCAGAACTAAAGCCATCACCTCCTCACCTGGCGAACAGAAAGCAATGCTGGGATAGTTCTAGAACACGAAGCAGTAAGGGAGCCAACGACTGATCCCATGTCCTTCACTCTCAGTGCTATAGCCTGATGCACATCCGCTGTCCTATTGTGCTGCCTGTTGCTGGACAGAACTGCTTCTCTCTGAGTTGCTTTCTTCCCCACAGGTTTCATCTAAAACCAGTCCCTGGGCTGTTCTGTCCCCTCGCTGGTCACTGTGCTGCCAGCAAAGGGCAAATCACCTTCCTGATTTACCCACTTAGGTCACAACCTGGATTTCAGTGTAGTCCGTTGTACCAAATGTCCTTAGCTCCTGCAAGGGAAGAGCCGTGTTCTGGCACCAAGGGGCCTCCTAGTGCGATGTGCCACAGCTGAGCATGTAACGGCTCTTGTCTGAGTCTGGCCTCCAGTTTAAACACAGAATGGCAGCCTGGTAGCTTCATGCTTCGTATTTCCTGCAGAGCAAGAAACAGGTCAGTACGGCACCTGGAAGAGTTTCTACATATATACGCACACTCCTCAAAACCAGTATGTTTCAGTCTGGAGCATCATGGGAGACTGAGCGTCCTCAGTAATTCCACTTGTGGATGAAAGCTGGTACGAAACATCAGCTTTTATTCTTCAGTGACTCACCGCCACAATCATGGACCACAACATGAGCACAGAGAAGCACAGCATATTAGGAGTCGTATCAGAATGGAATGGGTGCATTCTGTGCTCCGTAGCCATGTACCTACGCCAAACATAGCCACTTCCCCTTCTTTCCATTCAAAACTAACTCTTGGAATGTCCCAGTAACATGAAGGTGCTTCCTGCAATGAGATCAAATAAGGATCATTACTGGAGCACTATACAGAACAGAGAGAGACACTTGCCCCCAGGATCTTGTGGTCTGTTAGACCAAACATGCTGTAACCACAATCCGCTGGCTGACCAGACAGCAGGTAGAGCTGGAGGAGGTGCAGATCATTCCCACGTTCTTTTTTTTGTCTTGATATTTAAACTCTATGCATAAGTGTACAAGGAGGGATTTGAATAGAGTACATGACTGGCTGGGAGTAGGAGGAGCTGCATCTGGGGGTTAACACCTCTGCTTCCACCCATGAAGTTCACTTCTCCCAGGGTCCAGATCTTCTTGTGACTGGAAAACCCCTCAAGTCACACTCCAGCACCAGGGTGGAGGCCTGGCTCAGTAGCTGCATTCTGTATGGACAATAACTGGGACACAAGTGAATGCCTGGTGCTCTTTTAAAAAGGGGACCTGCTTTCTAGCCGAGTTTGCACTGGGAATTTCTAAGAGCTGAGGAACCGCAGGCGCCATCACCTGACCTGAATACTGGCAGTCGCGTCTCTTGGATGCAATCTGGTGTGTCAAGCTGTGTTTACACTGGGTTGTAGATGTATATAAATGTTTACCGTGAAATGTCAGCAGGCATTACTGTTCTGGACAGATGTTTAAGGCCAGCTGGCTGTCCTGAATACACTCTCTAACTTCCCACTGATTTAAGTGGGATGATGGCGGATGATATCTCAGTAAGGAGAGTGGGGATTTAAAAACTTGCTCATTTGAGTGGTCCCAGCTCCTGTGTGAAGCTCTCTCCAGCTTTGTGGTGAATGTAATGCTTCTCTAGGCTCTGCACTGCATCGGGGTGGGCAGCACGCAGACTGTGCTTCTGTAAGAAGGGACGGAAACTACAGCGGACCCTCGCTAGAATGTGCGTCTATATAGCGCGAATTCGCTTATGGCGCGGGAATCCCAAATTTAATTACCTTCATTGGAATCCATAGGAACACGGGACCGCGCATGGATCCAAGATCCCGCGTTCTAGCGAGGGTCTGGTGTACTAATTTTAAATGAGAGCTTGAATTTACCAAATATGGCAGTATCTGCAGAAGATCCTAACTCGGTATGACCTGCTGATTGTTCTCTACCAGTGGATTTCGGTTGCGCTCTGGTCGGCTGCGGTAGACACCCAAAATGTGCTGCCGTTCTGCATCTCCCAGAGCCACCATTGATTCGGAGCTGGTTTCAAAATCATTTGGAGTCAGCAGTTCTGGAAGGAGTCCTCTCATTCCCTCTGTGACACCCTGCCCCCCAATATTCACCACAGTCATGTGGCACCCCAGGGGGAACCTGTCACACCCTCCATTGCCATAGATTGTCACTCGACCATTGCTTGTGGCACTGGGGAATTCCATTGCCCTGGTGCTATGCCTCAGGAAATAGGAGAGGTGGCAGTGCATTATCACTTGTACGATAACAGTGCAGGCACTACCACCTAATGCAGCAAACAACAAAAAATGCCGGTGCCAAACACAACTTCCGGAGGGATATTGGCGTAGTGCAGGTGGCAGCTGCACCTCCGAGAGCTGGATTTCTCTGTGCTGTGATGCAGCAGCACCTTTGAGACTTCTCAGCATGGAGATGGGATAGATCGCAAGCGTTTTTGCTTCCACTACCAGAGAGAGGTAGACTCCCAGCACAGCAAAACGGCTGAATGAATGATGCTTACATCTCATGTTGTGGCAGAAAAACCATGGCTCTCGGAGTGTGACCGCTGAGCTGATCAACTAGCCGCCAGAATGCAGACTGGCAAGGAGAGTGACTGGGCAGCTGACAGGGCTGATTACGGGAATCTGGGTCACAGACTCAAAGGATTGCCTCCTCGCCTCCGCACGCTGTCTCCCGCTCCAGTGCACAGGTCAGGAGCCTGTCGGTTTGGCACTTACAGCAAAGGGAAGAGTTTGACTGACTTGCCCACCACTGTCATTTCTAGGGACGGTGTACAGCGAACAAATCTGTTAAAAAGAACAGCTTCTATCTCTGCGTCAGGACCACTCGAGAGAGTTAAGTCTGAGAAGTCCAAGTCTCACTTAAGCATTCTTCCCCGTGGTGTGTGCTGTTTCCTTTTTGCATCTCACTCGGCTGGGGAGTGAGACCGGGGCGGCTCCAGGCACCAGCGCAGCAAGCCACAGGGGGCGGCCTGCCAGTTGCTGTGAGGGTGGCAGACAGGCAGTCTTCGGCGGCATGCTTGCGGGAAGTCCGCCGGTGCCACGGTTTCGGCGGCAATTCGGCGGCGGGTACGCCAAAGGCGCAGGACCAGCAGATCACCCGCAGAAATGCCGCCGAATCCGCGCGACTAGCGGACCACCCGCAGGCGTGCCGCCGAAGGCCGCCTGACTGCCGTGCTTGGGGCAGCAAAAAACATAGAGCCGTCCCTGAGTGAGACTGGACTAGACCAGCCACTTCCACTTCCTGGTTGACAAGACTCCAGGGAGAGAGATTCCAAAGCCTTTCTGTTCATACAGAGTTTGGGAACCTGTGTTTTGCATACAGCTTGAATTCCAGGCCTAAATTCAGCCGACAACGGCCCTTTATTTGTATTGCACTTTTTGGATGTTTGAGGGAAAAAATCCTGTCGGAGTTTGGAATTGTGCAAGCATCAGGAAATGTCTTCAGCGCTGCACAGAAGCCCTGCTTCATTGTCCCTGAGTCTGTGTCCCAAACTGGGCTGGAGAGATGTCTCGGCCAGTCAGCATTTGTCAGATTCCCAAGCCCTCCAGTAGCCTGACTTGCACCAGTACAGTGGGGCCCTGGGCACCTTGGTAGGACAAATAGTAAATAATGTCGATTTCCCAGTGGGGTCAGTGCCGCCAGCAGGACATAGTTACATCCAGGAACCCGCAACTCGTGAATTATACAGCAGGTCTGTGCTATTTGGTACCCAGTTGCATGCTAAAAACATCCCCCTCCCTGCAAACATCCTGCCATGACCTGCAGAGAGGAGCCTACTCGGAACACTCTCCGCAGATGAATCTAGGGTGGCAGGTGCTAAAGGAAATGCAGCACGTAGCTGACAGCCCAGGGCATCATCTGAACCATGTTCAGGGACTTCGCTATTCAGTTTTCAAACAGCCTCTGAGCTCCTATTTTGCCCAGCTCGGGAGCTCATTGGTGCCTTGTCAGGAGTTCAAGGGACGCACCTGAGAGTGCAGCTGCTCTTGTCTTTAATACGGGGTTGCAGCCTATGGAAGCGACAGGCCCAGCATTCAGGACTCCACGTCAGTCTGTATTGGTGTCCCTAGTGGAGATGGAATCTGTGGCCTGACTGCGTTGCCTGCTGGGGTCTGAGACAAGCGCAGCCACTGGCCCCATTCGAGACCTCTGGGGGCTGAATCTGGGCTGCGTGCAATGCTTCGGCCACTCTGGTGTTGAAAGCGAACCTTTACCAGGAAGCGTTCCCGCTTCTCTCTGCACGTAAACACGTGCAAACCCAACAGCCAGCTCTAGCCTGGTTCCTACGCGCAGGGAGATCCCTGGCTAATTCTCGGCTCAGCTCCTAGCAATTAAGCTGTCGTGTTTTATTTTTCACTTGGCTAACAAATCTCTCTTGCTCTGTCCCTACAGCGCAGCCCTCGGAGGAGCCGGGAGGGGACAGGTAGGCTCACTTGTGCCCTCTTCGGACAGGGGGCGGCGGGGGTGGTGAGGTCAGCGTGGTGATCTTGTCTGTCCTTCTCTCTGCCTGGCCCCCCTCCTTTGCCCTTGCTCAGGATTGCTCCCCACTCACACTGCAGTGTGTTTGTGAGCAGGGTTCCTGAAATGCCTGTTCTTTAGCTGACACACAGCAGGGTTTGCAATGCTTCCTCCTTCCGCAGTGGCAGCCGTTTGCTTCATTTGCGCAGGAACAGCATTTTGAGATTCTAGGAAACCTTGATCCCCTTCAAATGTCTGCATGCTTCTGGCACTCGGAATGTCCAGGGTTTTTCCCTAACGCTCAGGCAAAGCGGATCTGTCCCAAGCTATTTCAAGAATCCCCAGAGAGAAGGAAATCCCTGGGATTGGCTTTTGTAGAGTACATGCACCACCTGTAATTGCATGCTTCCGGCCCCCAGTGCTTAGCCATTGGTTATGGGCAGCACGGTCACCCAGCATTCCAGGGCGTTTGTTCCCCAGGACTGGCTGCTAGGAGCTCCCTGAGGTTTAATCCCAGCTCTGATGTTTCGCCTCTTGACCTGTGACATGGGGATGTTGCTATTTGCAAGGAGGTGCTGTGTTTTGCAGCAAGGTGCCTGGGCCCCTGCTCTTTCAGCATGGTTCAGCTGTCCCTCGTCAGACCCTGTTTGAGGTTGGAGTGGGGTGGGCAAAGCAGAGAGGCGTCATTAGTGACGTTAAATCTGAGATGCAGCCCAGTATTATGAAGCCCTTGATAGGGAGCCCTGCTTCCCTATGGCTGCTGTACCCCCAAGTGAAGTGGGGTGCGTTGAAGGTTTGTCCTCTTACACTTGTATCTGTTTCTCTAGTGAGAGCGTGACAGCCGGAGCACAGCCCCACCTCCTCAGCGTCCCCGAGCTGTGCTACTGCCTGGCTGAGAGCTGGGTCACCTTCCGGTTGTACCTGCTGGAGCTGCTCCAGTACAAGAGGCAAAACCCTGCCAAGGTATCTTGGGCCATGCCACTCCCCCTCTGCTGGAGGTGTTCCTCTTGTAGTCAGGGGCTCCTCAGATGAGCTGGGGGGTGGGCGGAATCTTAGGGCAAGATTTTCACTGTTCCAGCCCTTCACTGATGATTGCGGGTGCCCTTCTTGCATCCCACCCTGCCCAGACTTCAGGAAAGGGAAGCTTTGCTATCGAATAATTGTCTTCCCAGCACCTGTGAGCTGGGGCCAAGCTTAACCCCTTATGGGAATGGCCAGCTCTTTGATCCTTTAGTTCCTTGAGTTCTAGTCCGAGTGGGAAGTTCGTCCGATTATGGCTTTTGCCCTGTCGTAGGCTCCGTTCAGCGCTGGAAGCTGTTTTGCAAGCAGCACCCTCAAGCTGCTCTTCTCCAAACCCATCGTGCAGTGGTGTTCAGGGCTCCTGAATGCGTGAAAGAATCTGGCATAAACCTAGGGGTTGATGGATGTGCCAGATGTCGTTTGGAGAGGAATTACCTCTTCGTAGCCAGGTCTTGGTCCTGGCCTGTATTAGGTCCTCGACATCACCGAAGATCAATGACATCCACACAGCAGACTTGGCAGACTCCAGTGCGCTCAAGTTATAGAAACAAGTGGGGTTTTACTATATTTATTTCCACTGCTGGCTATACCCGCTTCTCAGACAGGTGACTCCACAGTTACAATATTCAGCCAGAAGGGGGAGAGAAAGCAACTCAAGACAGATGCCATAAACTTAGTCTGGTGTCCTCTAGTGTTGAGCTTGAATTAGTTAGAAGATGAGACTCAGAGTGCACCAAACTCTCCTATATGGCTTCCTTTACATAGCGAACCAGCATTTCAGCTCACGCTGAGCACCGGTCTCTCCAGCCCTGATCCCTTTGACAGACCTCCCGGACACTAGAACCATCATCTAACCCGTGAGAAGGGCCTGTGCCCCTTGCAAAGAGCAGAAGAGTCTGGGCTGGATGGTCACACACCCACCAATTCCAGATGAGCCATACCAGGGGGTGGGCAGGGCTCCATGGATTGTGAACTAATCATCTAACTTCTCTATGCCTCAGTTTCCCCATCTGGGTAACGGGAGGGACAGTATAGACACCTCTATAATTTGTTAATCTACAAATGAACAGCACTATCTAATGCCTAATTATAATATATCCTATCTTACTTCCAGGAGACCTTGTTGAACTTCAGAAGTGAGATAGTTTAGGACATTCCCATAAAGCTTCTTTGGTCGGGGGGCGGAGGGGTGGTCACAGGTTCTTAGGTTTCCCTAGGTCTCATCTACGCTGACTTGCTTTGTTGCACTTCACTCTGCTTCTCCCCTGGGCTGGGAAGTTTGAGTTCTGACCATTAGTGCCGGGAGCGCAGCACAAAGCTAGGCCAGAATAAGCCATTGGGTTGGATCAGGCTTTTGTGTGTTAAATTTGCGTTACAATATTTTAAGGTGAGAAACGGCGCCGAGCGCGTCTCTTGCCCCAGCTGCAGGGATGGCGTCTTTGCCTCTTGTCTGTTGTTTTGTTCATCCCTCACCTCTTTTTTCCCCCAGTTCTGTGCGAGGGTCTGTTCGGGGTGCCTGATCCTGGCTATGGTCGGACACTATGTTCCGGGCATAATGATCTCCTCCATCGTCTGTGAGTATAAGTGGCCCCTTGGTGTCAACTGAGACTAGTCGTGACTTGCCTGAGTCATTTGATACGCTGGTAGAAGTGTGCTCCCGATTCTTTCATATCCCACAGCCCATACCAGATAAAGTGAGACGCATAACCCCTCACCTCCCTGCCGCCTCAGGTCATTTGCTAGCATACTGTTTACGTTGGACCTGCAGTGTGATGCAGTACTGCACAAAGCCAGAAGAGGGAGCCACGGTCACCAATGAACCCTCTTCCCAGATCTGCACCGTTCTACGTGCTCGGTGATTATATGCAGTGTAGTTGTAGGCGTGTTGGCCATGGTATTAGAGAGACAAGGTGGGCGAGGTGTTGGTCCAATAAAAGATATTACCTCACCCGCCCGGTCTCTCTAACATGCTCAGTGAAGCAGGTGTTCCTGCAGGGAAGCAGAGAAATGCAGTGTCACTCTGAAACTTCAACAGAGAACAAGTCCATGTCTGCCAGGTTTGAAAGGAAAAAATTGCTGGGGAAAGAGAATGTGTATTCAACCTTCCCAAGCGTTACGGGCAGCAGGAGGTAAAAGCGGAAGGAAATGGAAGTACTTGGGTATCTTAAGATCATCCTAAAGAGCTTCATTATATAGTCAGAGCAACCGTTTGGAAACTTGGAATGCTGATCTGCTTACTCTTCCCCTGCTCCAGTGGACGTGTTAGCTTATCGGGTCGCTCAGGTGTTCGGCACACTGGCTTCCAATTGGGGCACAGCCTTGCTTGTAAGTCCTGGGCTGCTGCTGCCCTTTCAGAAGTCAGTCACTTGAATTCACCCCCAGCTATAGCTCCAGCTCCGAGGTCAGGAATGAGGTGTGTTGACTGAGCTACAGAGAGCTCAGGGTTGTAATAGCAGGGGTGTCACAGGGAAGGACTGCTGTGCATTGGCAAAGCTGTTTGTGGATGAAAGCAGCCCTGGAATAATAGGGCGGTGCTGCAGATCAGGAGTGAGGTGTATTGGCAGACCTGTAAGGGTGAAGCCAGTGCCATCAGACTGCTCTTCAGCTGACATGAGGTTCCATTCCTGGCGCTTATGTGCCTGGCTACTGGGAGAATTGGCCTATTGTTCCTTTCCTAGTGTAAGAGCGGCCACAGCGAGTCAGACCAAAGGTCCACCCAGCCCCGTATCCTGTCTCTGACAGTGGCCAATACCAGGTGCTTCACAGAGAATGAACAGAACAGGGCAATTATCAACTGATCCATCCCCTGTCATCCAGTCCCAGCTTCTGGCAGTCAGAGGTTTTAGGGACACTGGGAGCCTGGGGTTGCACCTCTGGCCATTTTAGTTAAGAGCCATTGATGGACCTATCTTCCAGGAACTTCTCTAGTTCTTTTTTTAACCCAGTTATAGTTTACAACATCCCCTCGCAGTGAGGTCCACAGGTTGACCGAAGAAGTACTTCCTTATGTTTGTTTTAAACCTGCTGCCTATTCATTTTATTGGGTGCCCCCTGGTTCTTGTGTTATGTGAAGAGGTCAATAACACTTCCCAATTCACTCTTTCCACACCAGTCATGATTTTATAGACCCCTGTCCTATCCCCTGTTAGTGATCTCTTTTCCAAGATGAACAGACCCAGTCTGTTTGTTCTCGCCTCATATGGAAGCTGTTCTATACCTAATTTTTGTTGCCCTTCTCTGCACCTTTTCCAATTCTAGTAGATCTTTTGTTTAGCTCAGGTGACTAGAAGTGCCTGCAGTATTCAAGGTGTGGGCGTGCCATGGATTTATATAGTGATGTTATTGACCCCTTTCCGAATGGCTAACGTGTTCTGGGTTCTCTCTGCATTTCCAGTGCTCAGCATTCTGCTGTGGCCTTTGGTGGTTTACCATGAGCTGATCCAGCGGATGTACACTCGGCTGGAACCTGTCCTGATGAAACTGGACTACAGTATGAAAGCAGAGACCCTGCACCTGAAGCACGAGAAGAGAAGTAAGGCAATGCCTTTTCTCTGTTCTCTCTGCCTTGGCCGGCTGGGAAAACAGCACTGGCAAGTCGGAATCGGTGTGGAACGCCCGAGAAATGGCATCCTCGGGGAGGGGGGAGGGAGCGGGGGGGGGAGGGAGGGTCATCCTAGAGGTTATGACTAGGGGTGATGGGGGAAAACTGAGCAAGGGAAAATGTAGGCTGAGTATTGGGAGTACGGGGAGAGACTGCTTGGCAGTGACCTGTCAAGCAGTGAAAGGGGTTCCTAGGAGGAGGGGGCAGAGCCCCATTCCTTGGGATGCTTAACTGGGCCAGGCAGAACTCTAGCGAGCGAAGGGGCTGAAGGGAACAAAGCTGGCCTGGGGTGGGGATGGCCTAGACGGGACCCCGCAGCTCCTTCCCTCCCTTTCCAGGATTCTGAGCCCGGTGCCGCTCAGTGACGTTTCTTCCGTTTCCTCACACAGAGCGCCAAGGAAAGAGTGAACCCATGGCTGGCGATGAGCCAATGGCGGAGACCGAGAGTGAGAGCGAGGCGGAGCTGTCTGGCTACTCCCCGGTGGTAAGGGCTGCAGAGGAGCCGTGCGGTAGATAGCCCTCTCCTCCCTGCCAGCACCTCCCCAGAGAGCCAGGAACAGAGGGTTGGTCAGAATGCAGCCACGCTGGTAACCAGCAGCAGAGCTGTGCAAGTCGGCCCTGGCCTCTGGGCCCTGGCCGGGGTTGGAAAGTCACCAGTGAGTGCTAAGGGAGGGGTGCCAGCTGCCTCTGTGGAGGGGCTGTCACCGAGAGCCTGCTTGTCAGGTGGCCCCGGGAGCAGTGTGGTGGAGTGCAAAGCCCAGGGACCTGGAGTAAGGGAATGCCCTGCCTGCTCTCCCTGCCCCCTCGAGCCAGTGACTAGAGTAGCCCCGATGGGCTCTGCAGGGACTCACGCTGCACTTGTCTCTGCTGGCCTGCAGGCAGCGGTGCTGGTGGTGCAGATGGCTTGCTACTTCCTGGAAACCTGACCACGCCCAGGGTAAAGGGTCATGGAGCTGTTCCCCGCCCCCCCGCGCTTGCTCAGTAGATGGGAGATGTGTAGTCTCGTTTATTTCCATGCTGATGGGGTGATCAGGGCAGGCGTCTGGTTTTGCTGCAGCTGCCAGTGGAAGGAGAAGCTGGGCTGGGAGGTGGGAAGCTTTGGGTCACGTGAAAGTATCTGCAGTGCCCTCTGCTGCTGCGTGTATGGATGTCCTTTTTGGCATGGCCGGTTGGCACTAGTGTGAAAGGGGTCCCTGCCCTTTGCGACAGTGCTGTAGCCACCGCAGGATGCGGGAGAATCTCCTGCTGTGGGGATTTCTAGGGCTCGCAGGAGTTACACACGTGCTTTCCACTGGGCCCTCCATGTTGGGCGCTGGCAGGACGCAGACCCCTCCGCGCTCACTCCAGGAGCAGCAAGGGTGAGTCTGTGCCTGGACAGCGTCAGGAGGATTCTGCCCAGCCCCCTGCTCGTACAGCGTGAGAACCCGTGTAACAGTTCATCTGGCAGATACCTTCTGCCCCTCCGGCTCCGGTCTGTGCAGAGGAGCCAGCAGGGAGTGCTGCCAGCTGGGCACCCAAACCTAATGTCCCCTCTGCTCTCCTCCGCCACAGGTGGATGTGAAGAAGACAGCACTAGCGCTGGCGATTACAGACTCTGAGCTCTCTGACGAGGAGGCTTCCATCCTGGAGAGCGGGGGCTTCTCTGTCTCCAGGGCCACCACCCCGCAGCTGACTGATGTGTCTGAAGGTAATTCCCACCCTCACCCCAAGCATTGTCCTGAAACAGCTGTCTGATAGGAACCGGCCATCACTGTCCCTTCCCCTCCCCTGGAGCTGGGTCAGGCCCCTGGAGGGCAGGGGGAGAACCAGGCTGTTTGCAGGGGGAAAGGGCCAGAAGGGAGCCAGGAGACCCTCACTTGGCAGTGAAGATGGCATGCCCCATCTCCCCCATCAGTGGGCTGGGAGTCTGTGTGTTGTCATTTCTGGAGGTTGAAACTCTCCTAGCCGGGCTGCTAGTCCAGCCTCCGTGGGGATGGGCTCTGTCCAATTGCTGCCTTGGGCGGGGAGGGAGGCCTTAGCAGCAGCACAGCTTGTCATGGCTTCCCCGATATCCATGACTGCTCCAGCTGTCTGATCTCTGCTGCCTGGATGATCCCGCTCCATGCACTGCCCTGCTCCCTGCCTAACTCTGGAGAGGGAGGCAGCACAGTCCTCAAAGGCTCTGCCAATGAGCAGAGAGGCAGGCAAGCCTGGCCAAGTGCTGACGTGTGCTCTGGTGCCCAAGCTGTGTGTGGCATTGTACAAAACCAAGCCAGAGACCTTGCCCCGCGGCGCTCGCTGGCTCCGATGAGGGCTGTGTGGTGGTGACGACAGGATCACGGGGCTGGTTGGGTGTGTGCAGGAGGAGTTGTGGGCACTGGGTAATCTACGGGAGTGTAGCTCATCAGACACTTCGGGGTGGGTTTGAGGAGGGATTGAAAGGGGAGAAGGTGGAAGTGTGACAGGAGCCCTAGGCAAGAACAGCCCCAGTGGCAGGTGGAGGATGGCAAGAAGGGGATGGTCAGGTGAGCCACCTGCTCCGCACACCCCACATGTGGGGCAGAGTGAAGGGAGGTGGCTCCTAGGCAGGAAGAAGCTGAATTGTGGAGGAGCTTGAATCCAAACCTATGTTCCTTCAAGCACTCCTCTCGTGGGAGTGCAGGGCAACCCCTGCTTCCACACTAAGCAGGATGGAGCAGCCCAGGGGGCAAAGATCAGCTGGGGCAGGCAGACGCGCAGCCCGGGTCTAAGGGCCTGGGACTGTGGAGAGTGCGAGAAGCACCCAAGAGCTGCTGCTAATGCCATTGCCTGGCTGTGCCTTTCAGACCTGGATCAGCAGAGCCTGCACAGTGAGCCGGAGGAGTCCTTCGCCAAGGACCTGGCAGAGTTCCCCTCCGTAGAAGAGTATCATTCCAGAGACCTGGGGCCACAAAGCGACGACGATGCCTTCGGGGTGCCACTGGGCCCTGAGCTTGCCCATGCTGCCCACGAGCTGGACTCTGTGGAGAAGGAAGCTGTGGACTCTGACCTCTCTGTTCTCCATCTAGCTTCTCCTCTCCATTTTGTAAATACGCACTTCAATGGGAATGGGCAAGTGGCGCCAGGCGGCGCAGAGCCGCAGACTGCTGCTGCCCCCGGCCTGGGCATCTGCATCGATGTGCTAAGCGAGGAGATTGTCACCACTGCCATCACCACGGTGGTGCAGAACACCCTCTCGGCCCTGCTGCGCTCCTCTGAAGCTAGTGAGGGGCCTTCCCTCTCTGAGTTCCTCCCCACTGAGCCCGAAGAGAGACTGAACTTCCAGGCGCAGCTGTCAGAGACCGAGGTGGTGGGGACGGAGACTGCAGCTCTCCCGGAGGAGGAGGGGGAAGTGGATGACTTTGAGCTACTGGATCAGAGGGAGCTGGAGCAAATGGATGTAGAGATGGGGCTTGGAGGAGAGCAGGAAGTGCAGGAATCGCCCGTCACTCCAGTTCCAGCTTCCTCCCAGCCCGCCTTTTCCGAGCTGCCAAAGCAAGAGGATCCAGAGGAGGCGGCGTCAGCGACGTCTTTGTCTTAGGTCGTCTCTGTCACCCCCTCTTTCCTAATCCTCCCTGGAAGGAAGGAAGGATGGACGGACGGACGGACTCCTGCAGTGAGAGATTCATGTTGACCAGGATGGCAAAAAGGCTGTGTTCATGGGCTGTGTCTGGAATCACCCATCCTTCCCAGCCCAGCCTTCCTCAGGCAGAGTGAGGAGAGGAGCCAGGCCGCAGTTGTAACACCAACCCCAGCAAAAGCTTCCTAGTGATGGTGCAGTATTTTGGTCTGTCTTCTGTTTGTCTTTCGCTTTGCACGCAGGGTACTGCGCTAGATGTTGCTGCTGCTATCCCCACATCCCCAGTAGGACAGATGCAATCTTATTTTATTGGGTTTTTAAATGGCTAAACGTGTAAATAATTTTAACTGTCTTTGGTTGAGCTGGATGAGGGGAGGGGAAGGAAATACAACTCAGATCTCCGGGTGGGGGGAAGAGCAGAGGCAGGCCGCTTCCTACCAGCAAGGAAAAGGTGGGTGGCTGCAGGAAGGGGCCTGCGAGGCTGACAGCAGACTGTAGTAGCCTCTCCATCAAACCTAGCGTCGGGCATTTCCCTGTGTCTGGCCTGGAGACCACTGCTGTGAATGGAGCAGCTTCCAGGTCTGGACCAGTTGCTCCTTGCCCCGGTTCTCTCCGTCTTTAACTCTGCGGCACACAGATGGCTCCTCAAACCATCGTGCTCTGAATAAGCATGACCAAGCCAGACCCCCGAGTGCTGCTTCCTCTTGTCTAGTGTCTCGCTGTGGCAGCTGGCTGGCTTTCCGGTGGCTTGTGCAGCGGAGAAGCGTCTGATTGTTTTATGGGTGAGACTGTTTTGTGGCCCTAGTCCGAGGGGCTGCGCAGACAGTAATTGTGTGAGAGGCACCCCCCCAAAATCTATTTTTTTTTGATAACTAAAGGCTGTTTTTAGGCAGTGTTCTGCAATCTCTTACTGCACTTTACGTCCCAAGTGCCCCCTCCCACGCCCAAGGCCGGGCCAATACAACTCCGCTCTACCACTTCGTCCCTCGTAACCCGTGTCCCTGCTGTGAGCACTTGGCATCTCCGTTCCAGTCCCGGCGCAGGATCGTTTACTGCTGCCCGGTGAACCTGCTCCTCCTCTGGCAGGGCTGCCCTTGCTGGGTCTGGGAGCTGTTAGGGCAGTGTGAGGGACTGAAGAGCTGCCTCAGATCTTGTCCTCTCAAGCAGGCCCTTTGGAAGCACCTCCCATTCTAGCCCAGTTGGGTACCCAGCGCTTCCTGGGCCTGTCCCAGAGTGTACCGTGGACTAGGTTCTGATCTCGCTTCCAGCAGGAGGCTCTGCTCCCTGTATCGCAGCCATAGGTCATCCTAGCTGTAGTCCCTGCCCGAAATGGCTCCTGTTGTGCTCCTGGAGCAGGGACTGGGCGTCCTTGGCCGTAGCTCTGGCATGGAAACAGGAGAGGCTCTACTGACGCTAAGGGGGGAGCTGTAAACTGACCTGGCAGCTTCTGTGCACAGCCCAGCAGAAATGGCTCAGCCAGCGTGTGAAGGCTCACCGTGTACGCTTGGAAGTTCTAGGCCTGTTCGGGCTAGCTCTGTCTGCACAGACAGCGGAGCACCGCAGGTGTATGTGCAAAAGGCCTCTGTGAAATGGTGGGCCGTGGAACTTCGGGCTCTGCCTCGGGCATATAGGCCAACACGCCCAAGAGCAAGGCTGCCTGGAGTCCTGCCTGTCGTCGCACCTAGTACGTCCAATCCCTCTCACTTTCGTAACCCTCGTACTGTCTTAATGTACCCCGGGGTCTGGCTGAGACTGCCCAAGCGTTACCGCTAAGGGTCTCTGTGTCCTCATTGCACGTAGACCCTGCAGCGTGAGGGCCCTTGGCTAGCGGAAGTGGAGGAGTGGGAATCTTATGTATGTACGGGGCTGTTGCAGCCTCTCCTATCAACTCTTACTTAGGGTGCTGCAGTCGAGGAATGTATGGAAAGTGAGAGGCTGCATGCCCGTGGCCACCAGTCCCTGGAATATGGGCCCAGGGTGGGAGTCTGTCTAGCCTGAGTGCCGAGGCAGGATGCCTTGCTGTGCTTCCCTGCCCTCAGCCAGCACTTCCAGAGCTGAGACGGTCAGCTCGTCACGCACCCAGGCGCAGCCCCTTGACTGGATTTCTCATAACTGACAGCAGAGCTTTTAAATTCAGAAAACTCTCCTGAGATCAGAGGGCTGAGATAAACAGGGGATGGGAGCAGAGGCCCAATGACGTCCTTGCTACACCCCTTGGGCAGAGCATTTTGGAGAGTTCTCTGGCCCCACGACCGCAGTTGAAGCTGGGCTTCGGCTGTCCCCCTGTATTGTGTGTGAGCTGATTTCCCGCCCCCCCTTTCCCTGTTTGTGTGGGACAGGGCAGACTCCAGAGGCGTTGGTAGCTCTGTCGCTGTTTGACTGTTCAAAGCATGGACTAGATGGACACTTCTACACTCTGTATGACTTCCCTGCTCAATGGAACATTCCATAGGCGTGGTGGCTTGTGGGTCTATGAATTCTTTAATGGCAGCCGCTCCTGGCCTCTTTCGAGCTAGGACGATCTGCTTTCCAATCCCAGGTTTAGGAAGCGTTAGATTATTTATTGAGTAGATAATATAGAGGCATTTCCCGAAAACCTCCTCCTAGCCCAACGAATGCCAAACTGGCCCAAATGGAGCCTGTTCTCACCCCCTTTACCCCAGCAGTGTAGCCCTAGCAAGCATGCCCTTCCTCGGAGAACACCATGTCTCAGGAGGGTGGCTGCAGTCTGCTTGAATGTAAATTAGATACGCTCCTGGTAGGCTGCCAAAGCAAAATGTCGGCCTCCTTGTCCTGCATTGCATTGGGAATCCCAGGCGCAGCGCAGCGTCCTGCGATCTACAGGGTTGTGTGCATGGCCCACATGGCAGCCACCCACGTTCAAATGGTGCTAACGTTGTTCCAAAAAGCCCCCGCCAACGTATCCAGTGAACAGGCTGCCACATATCGCTAACCAAGGCATTGTTGCACGGTAGGAGCACAAATGGGTCACAACAATTTGGACCCCACATTTTCTTTCAGGATGTGGGGAGGGGAAGGGATCTTGTTTGCTTGTGCTCATATGCCCACCCTCTCCCTGAGCACTATGTCCGCAAGAGAATTTGAGGCACCAGTGCTGGTAGCCGTGGGTGGCTTTTCATTGCTGGTAGGTCTGCAGGAGACCTGGTAATAAAAATGTGTTAATCTCTTCCTAAGAACATCCAGGAAAAAGGGGGGGGGGGGGGGGGTCCTTGTAACCAGTGTTCATTCTATGGCTGTATTTAAAAGCAAAATGTAGAATTTGTAATAAAAAATAAAAACAAACAAATGTTAGAGGCGAAAGTTCTGGGCAATAAAGTTTGTTGGCTGTATGTGATGGAGTCTTTCTAGCTTGTCTTGCTCTCCTGGCTCGGGGTGCCAGTCTGACATTCAGCGCCAGGCAAGGGGGGAGAAATCACTTCTTTTCAACCTGGCGGGAGATGCCTGTCAGTGGCGGTACTGTACACGCAAAGCCGAGCTAGCAGCGAGGCTCGTATCAGCTGGGGGTGGTGTGAGCAAGCCCCCCGAGGGAGGTAACGTGTGGGGGTGGGGCAGAGCCGGCTGGCTACCAGCTTGGATTCTCCTCTCCCGCCCAGCTCACTCAGGCTCTGAAAACCCCCTTTCTGTTGCAGTTGCTCAGCCAGCCGCCTTGCAGAGTTGTTGCAATGACAATGAGGGGATGGGTGAATATGGAGGACTCACAGCTGTGACTTTGATGCCTGTTCAGCATCACTCTTCTTGGAAACCTCGGCAGCCTCTACTCTGCAGTGGCCTAAGATGCTCTAGTGTCAAGTCCCTCTGGGTGACCAGATGTCCCGGTTTTATAGGGACAGTCCCAATGTTGGGGTCTTTTTCTTATATAAGCTCCTATTACCCCCTCACCCCCTGTCCTGATTTTTCACACTTGCTGTCTGGTCACCCCTAAGTCCCTCCTTTACTGACACCTCCCCAGTCTTTGACCTCTGCTGGCCAGGAAATCCCCAGAACAGCTGCTACTGTCTGGAATCTGGGCCCTGGGCCTGCTGGGCACAGGCAGGAGCAAGGCTAGAGCGGATGGGGTCAGACTCCAGTACTGCAGCCCTCTCCCCTTGCAGCTAAGGGAGCTGGGCGAGTACAAGCCTCCTGCTAGTTACCTTACAGCGGTAGAGGGGGGGTGGGACCCAGGTGACCTGGATTCTACTGGCTCTGATGGTGGCATGCTGGGAGACTAGGGCAAGAACAGTTCTCTTCAGGACTGGAGAAGGGCAGCCAGAGCCCCATCTTTAAAAAGGGGAACAAAGGGGACCTGGGGCTTATAGACCAGTCAGCCTGACTTTGATACCTGGAGAGAGACTGGAACAATCAACTCGTATGCACCTTGTGGCTAACCGGTTTAGAAGGAATTGGCAGCATGGCTTTGTCTAGAACAAAGCATGCCAAACTACCTTGATTTCCTTCTTTGACAGGGTACTGGCTTAGGGGAGGGGGGGAAGCAGCGGACATGTCAGTAAGTCTTGATACAGTCCCACATTCTTAGACGCAAACAAGGGAAATGCGGTCTAGATTAATTTACTATCAGGTGAACATAAGAACAGCAATACTGGGTCAGACCAATGGTCCATCTAGCCCAGTGTCCTGTCTCTGGTAGTGGCCAGTGTCAGATGCTACAGAGGGAATAAACAGGGCATTTAGCAAGTGATCCATTCCTTGTCATCCAGAGCCAGCTTCTGGCAGTCAGAGGTTTAGGGACACTCAGAGCAGGGGGTTTTGTCCCTGCACATCTTGACTAATAGCCATTGCTGGACCATCCTCCATGAATTTATCTAATTCTTTTTTAAAACCAGTTACAGTTTTGGCCTTCACAGCATCCCCTGGCAATGAGTTCCACAGGTTGACTCTGTGTTGTGTGAAGAAATACTCCCTTATGTTTATTGTAAACCTGCTGCTGGTTAATTTAATCAAGTGACCCCTGGTTTTTGTGTTATGTGAAGGGGTGAATAGCACTCCCCTGTTCACTTGCTCCGCACCCCGTTCATGATTTGTAGACCTCTACCATACCCCCTCTTAGTTGTCCCTTTTCTAAGCTGAACAGTCCCAGTCTTTTTAATCTCTCCTCATCTGGAAGCTGTTCCATACCCTATTAATGTTTGTTTCTAATTTAGACCCCATCATTGTATATGTATAGTTGGGTTTATGTTTTCCAATGTGCATTACTTTGCATTTATCAACACTGAATTTCATCTGCCATTTGGTTACCCAGTCACCCAGTTTTGTGAGATCCCTTTGTAGCTCTTCGCACTCTGCTTTGGACTGAAGTATCTTGAGTAATTTTGTATCATCTGCAAATTTTGCCACCTCACTGTTTACCCCTTTTTCCAGATCATTTATGAATATGTTGAACAGCTCTGGTCCCAATACAGACCCCTGGGGGACCCCACTATTTACCTCTCTCCATTCTGAAAACTGACCATTTATTCCTTCCCTTTTGTTTTCTGTATTTTAACAACTTATTGATCCATGAGAAGACCTTCCCTCTTATCCCATGACTGCTTAGTTTCCTTAAGAGCTTTTGAGGGACCTTGTTAAAGGCTTTCTGAAAGTCCAAGTACCCTATAGCCACTGGATCCCCCTTGTCCACAAGTTTGTTTGACTCCCTCAAAGAATTCTAGTAGCGTGGTGAGGCGTGATTTCCCTCTACAAGAGCTGTAGACGTCACATGTTCCTCTGTGTGTTTGTTTATAATTCTGTGAGTGCCTAACTGGTTGAAAGACGGTACTCAACGAGTAATTCTCAATAGGTCACTGTCACACCAGGAGGATGTATTTACTGAGGTCCCACCTGTGACAAAGTGGGAATGTTCTTAATGTTTTCTCTGAATACTGTGTGGGTGCCTCAGTTTCCCCTATGCAGTTCTCAAGTCTCTAGGTGGTGGGATAAGGGGGTGTGATGGTTGCAGAGCCCGAGAGGGCTAGTGTGATGGTGTCTGCACAGAGAATGGCCGACACCCTGTCTCCTGGCAACTGATGGCCTGGGCCCCTCCTCTGCAAAGGTGCCGACTGAAGGTGTTGGAGAACAAAGAGATCAGGTGACCTCCTGGCCCGGGAAAGAGACAAAGGGAGAGGAGGGGCTGGAGAGTTTCAGTTTGGAGCTGGCTGAGGAAATGGAGGGGAGGCCAGACAGACCTCCTGGCCCCCCCAAGATGGTCCTGACTGAGGGGGGTCCTGTTGTCTGTACCTGCAAGACCTGTCTTGGACTGTGTTCCTGTCATCTAAATAAACCTTCTGTGTTACTGGCTGGCTGAGAGTCATGGGTGCAGGGCCTGGTCTCTCCCACACTCCGTGACACCCCGGGGTCAGTCCTCGGTCTGGCACCAGGGCCGGCTCTAACTTTTTTGCCGCCCCAGGCAAAAAAGAAGAGAGCCGCCCTGCTGTACCCACCCCCCCGCGAGCGCCGCCAAAATCTCCGCCGCGCCGCCCGAAGTCCCGCCCCCCTCCAAGCGCCGTGCCACCTGAAGCCCCCACCCCTCCTCCGAGCGCTGCACTGCGCCAGCCCCCGCCCCCCCAAGACCCCGCCCCCCGAGCACCACGCTGCCTGAAGCCCCGCCCCC